CATTTTAGACACACCAACAAGACTTGAGTCTTCATTTCTTGTTTCTTTTTTTCTTCCTTTATTAAGAGTGTTTTGTATGAGAGTTAGTGTTGGGAACCACTTGTGTGAACCCTTTCTTTGGAGTGATCTTGTGAGGTTATTCTCTTAGGGTATTTGGGATTAATTAGAGTGTTTACTCTAATTTTGTACTCTCTTGTGTACTCTTATTGTTATAGTAAATTGCTTCTCTCCGCTTGTGTATGCAGGTCACTTTGACCGAACCACGTTAAATTTGTGTCTTCTTTATCTACTTTAATTGTCGTTGTTATCAAATTCCATTGTCTTTGTTATTGTCATTATACCATTGTTTGGCTATATTCCGTACTACCCGGGTTCCCGATCCTAATAAATTGGTATCAAAGCCGGATCTAACCGGGTTAGTTTCAATATCCAAAATGACTCTAACAAAGACTTATGTTGAGAAATTTGACCGAAGTGTAAACTTCGGAATGTGGTAATTAAAGATGGAAGCTATCCTAATTCAGGATGGCTTAGACTTGGCGTTGCAAGGAAAGGAAAAGAAGCCGGATAAAATGACGGATGAGGAATTTGCCATCATAGACAAAAAGGCAAAAGCAGGTATCATTTTAAATCTCTCAAATGAGGTTTTACGTGAAGTTTCTATAGAAACCACAGCTAAAGGTATGTGGGAAAAATTCAAAATATTATATATGAAGAGAACGATAGAAAATAGACTCTACCTAAAGCAGAAGTTTTATACAATTCGTATGAGTGAAGGTACCTCTATTCTCTCTCATCTTGACACTTTTGATTCCATTCTTATGGATTTGAGTAATATAGATGCTGAAATTAAAGATGAGGATCAAGCTGTGTTACTGCTTTGTTCTCTACCCCCATCTTTTAAGCATATAAGAGATACTATGCTTTATGCAAAGGATAATATCTCTTATAAGGATATTAAATCTATCTTAAAATCAAAAGAACAGATAGATAGTGATATTACTAGGGAAGCTAGTGGAACTCAAGCGGAAGTTGGCTTGTTTGTTAGGGGCAAATCCGACTCCAATTCCAGATACAATAATTTAGAGTGTCGCTATTGTCATAAGAAAGGTCACAATATCTCTGAATGCTATAAACTGAAAAATAAAGAAAAGCACAAAGAAAGAAAAAATGAGCACAAAAATACTGACACCGCCGAAGCTAGTGTAGCAACTGATGAGATTGAGGGAACTATATTTTTAGCAACTGAAACTAGTTTCAGATTAGACAATGAGTGAATTTTAGATTCCGGTTGTTCATATCATATGTGTCCTAGCAGGGACTTGTTTTCTACATATGATTCAGTTGCAGGTGGAGTTGTCCAATTGGGTAACAATGTTACTTGTAACGTTATTGGCAAAGGTACAATTCGGGTCAGAATGCACGATGATGTGGTGAGAACTCTCACCGATGTTAGATATGTTCCTGAGTTGAAGAAAAATCTCATCTCTCTAGGCACTTTAGAATCCCTTGGGTGCAAATTCACTGGTGAAGGTGGAGTTCTGAAAATTTTTCAAGGTGCTCGTTTGATCATGAAAGCACACAGATCTGGTTCGTTGTATACTTTATTGGGATCCACTGTTATAGGCCCTACTACAGTTTCGGTATCAGACAATTTGTCTGATTTTGATGGCATTAAATTTTGACATATGCCCATTAGGGCTTTTGGTGAGAAGGTGGAGCAAATTTACTATATCATCCAAAATTAGGCCAAGGTGGAGATTTGTAATATGGCCATTATTTTGTCAAATGGAGTCCATCTCACATAAGTATAAGCATCTTTGCAAAGTGTAGAGTTTGTTGGCAATATTCTTTGGGACCCAAAAATATTGTATTGTGTGTTGGACATCATTTGCACAAGTTGTATCTCTTCTTTTACACCTAAGAGGTCAAGACTTTTTTGCTTATAAAAGGGAAGGCTATTAGTTCATTTTAGACACACCAACAAGACTTGAGTTTTCATTTCTTGTTTCTTCCTTTATTAAAAGTGTTTTGTATGAAAGTTAGTATTGGGAAGCACTTGTGTGAACCCTTTCTTTGGAGTGATCTTGTGAGGTTATTCTCTTGGGGTATTTGGGATTAATTAGAATATTTACTCTAATTTTGTACTCTCTTTTGTACTCTTGTTGGTATAGTGAAATTGTTTCTCTCCGCTTGTGGATGTAGGTCACCTTGACCGAACGGCATTAAATTTGTGTCTTCTTTATCTTCTTTAATTGCCGTTATTATCAACTTTTATTGTCTTTGTTATTGTCATTATACCGTTGTTTGGCTAAATTTCGCACTACCGGGTTCCCGATCCTAACAGACACCATGCCGGTAGGATTAACAAGATAATTATTTCATAAAATAAGAAGTTTAAATCTGTTATGTGAAATGTATGTGAGATGTGTATGTTGTATGTGTGAGGAAGTCATGCTTCTATTAAGGGCAATACGATTTGGATTGCTACTTGTTTCCTTCTTTTGCTTAGTTTTAGTTATGGACAATGCAAACCACTAAAGATCCTGCCTTTAGGAACTAACAATGAAGGTTGATAATTTATTTTTTGATAAGGATTATTCAGTTGTACGTATAACGTGTTCTTGCATGATTAATTACCAAATAGATATAGTATTAAGAAGTGATAGATTTTCATGTAAATTTGCCCTCCAAATAGGACATATGTGTTCTTTATGCATTCTGGTTGTGTTTGAGATTACAAGAGTTTTTTAATTCGAGTGTTAGGCCAATATCAGAGTCGCACGGGATTGGAAAGGTTCAAGGATACATGACTACCCCTTTAGTGTCTGAAATTCTTTTTAATTAGTCTATTTCTATTTCTGGCTTTGTAATAACTTTATAAAGATTTTGTAATAATAAAAGGAAGTACTGCGGGAGAGGGGAAACTGTTTGCTCTAGCTAACTACTATCTCATTTTGGTTGTTTATTTCCTGTCTTCTTCTTTATTCTAATAGCAATAGGCTTTAGCTTTAGTTTTTAATCTCAACCGTTAGATATCATGCCTATAGAGAGTTACTTAATTAAAAAAAAAACAGGCTCCTATGTGTTATTTATATGGTAAGAGAATTGGCTAAAATTTACAAGTATTATTTGGGCTCTATTCTGGTGTTGAAACTATTTTGCAAATACTTGAATCTTTTTAAATTATTTGGAAGGATTGGAACATAATTCTAGTTCTGAAATTATTTTTTTCCCTACAAGCATTTTAGCACGGATGTGCTATATTTTAAATCTGAAATTTCTTACAAATGCCTTGGTTCAAATATACCAATGACAAATCGAGATGAATTTTGCAAATATTTTGACCTGTTTGACTTTGTCGCTGGACTTAAGTTTCCTTTACAAATATACTTCTCTCATTTGGTATTATCGAATTATTGACCATTAGAAATCTAGTTATACTTAAATATTCTGGAGTGCGTACTTTTTAAACATGCCTTTTACCATACTGGTTCTCAAATTATATTTGCTTTAACTTATTTTATATTTTGAGTATTATATCAAATACTTAATATGTTGGAAGAGCCCAATTCACTGCTATTAGTTACTACTTGCTTAATTAATTCTGAGGCCAACATGAACCCTTACTTGCCTTATGTGTTATTTGTTTAAGTCTTAATGTGCTTTCTTTTATATGACGTTATTAAGAATAGAAATAGAAACCTGAGATTTTACTTAAGTCTAAAACTATCCCTTTAGAATAGTGTCCAAAGCCTCCTGGACTATAGGAAGGGGCGGGTAGTCTTAATTTTAGACACGGTTTAGAATTAATTAGTGCGCTCTTAGGTTAAAAACTTAAAGATAGTAATGAGGGTAGTTGGAGATGAAATATAAATTGCCCGAATAGTAATTGCACTTTGGCTATAAAAATCTTAACTGACTTTGCATGGCAGTTGATCCTAAAAATTTAGGTTCTCTTTAACTATTTAACTGATCATCCTTATATGTTTCACTTGTGTGGGGATAGCTAGATTTAATTTATTTTGTACGTTTCCGATGGTAATTTATGTAATAGTCGTTATATAATAGGAACAGTTTTAGTTTCAAATTCAATTAGTAAATTTGTTTCTCTGTTCCTTTGACGTCTTATTTATACGTTTGTTGTCTAAAGTTGCTTTTAAACAATCTACTGAATTACTATCATTCAATTTTCTTTCTTTTACGTTGTCACTTAGTACAGTTGATAATTAGTTGCACGTTAATCATTTAGCTATTAATAATAATTAATCATTTGGCATGCTTAAACCACTTAGTTTACTTAGTAACTCATATAATTCCACTTAGTTTAAAATTCGGCCAGCAACTACAGTTGTGGACCTCGAAGTGTGCCTAACACCTCCTATTCAAGGTAATTTGAACCCTTACCCGATTTTTGGTGACGTAGAGTAGTCAAATTGAGTTATTCACAAATAGATGCCTTAACGCACCTTAAAATCGTCAGGTGACGACTCTTCTCTTTTAATACCCGTTTTAAAAAGTTGTCATGTGTTGAAACCCTCCTTCGCGAGAAAATGGGAGGCGACACTATATATAATAAATTAAGATATCTTATATTAATGCAACAATAAATAAACTTATGAACTAAATATTTAACATATATAGACACTAATTATTGTAAAAACTTTTACATTACTAATGTATGTTAATATGTTATCTATGTAATTGCCCTATATTTTATTTTACTAATCCACCAATTTATTAATAATTATAAGTACTTTTATACTATCAATATATGTTATTCTTAACCGGTTATAGTATGCACTTTGCCTTATATTTTAATTTACTAAATTCACTGATTTATGAATAGTCACATGTAATTATTGTTTAAGTAGTTTGATAATGTAAAAATTTTGGTATATATAATTTAAATTCATAAAATAAATATTTGACATTCCAAAATATTTTACAATGGCAAAAAACCAGGGAAAGAAGATTCTGATCAAACAATAAAAAGCGGTCCCCGCGCAGCTTCAATTAATAAAACCTAAACCCTTCCCTCACCTTTGATTACTTGCCGTACTTGCGTTGAAGTTCACTTTTCCGGCAGAGAACATGGCGGAGATGGATTTGGACTTCGACGGCCCAAGTAAAGCTCCGACTAGGCCATCCCGTTTTGCTCCCAAAAGCTCTAAATTGAAGCCCCAACCCCAACCAGTAACCAAACCCAAACCTGAAACACCGTCATCATCATCTGATCCTCCTATTCCGACTAAAAAGGAAGAATTAGTTTCAAAACCCTCAGTAAAAGACCATCCAGCCGAAAATGGAGCCGCAATGGGTAAAGATGACGTTCCATTGGATGAAAACACTACGGGAGACGACATGGCAGAAGAAGAACAAATCGCCATGGATACTGATAGCGTTGAAGATGAAGTTGTTCGTGAAATTGATGTGTGTTTTACCCCTTCCTCTGATCCTGACAATCAGGTATATTTATCTTTTATTTATTTAGCTGTTGTTTATTTGTTGAATTTGCAAAATTTTCTATTTGCTAAGTATTAATTTCTCTTTTCTGGTCAGCTATATGTGTTCCAGTATCCATTGAGGCCCGTATGGCGTCCCTATGAATTGGAGGAAAGATGTCAAGAGGTGAGTTACAAAAAATGCTTTTAATGTTTCTTACGCGAAATAAATCAGTAGTATCAAACATTTGATTGAAATGCTGGTTTTAAATGACCAGTTTGGACGTCTGAATCAGATTTTCTCTATTTGCAGGTGAGATTGAGACCTTCAACTGCACAAATGGAGGTTGATTTGGCAATAGATTTTGATTCTAAAAATTTTGACCGAGACTCTGTTCATGCAGTAAAGATGGAAAAGCAGGTTCCTTCGATTTATCCTCTAACTTAAAAGAGTAAATCTTTGAGCTAATTTCCTGCGTTATTTGCTTCCATGCATCTGTTAATCTTGAGCCGAGGGTCTATTGGAAACAACCTCTCTACCTGCACAAGGTAGAGGTAAGGTCTTCATACACACTACCCTCCCCAGACCCTACTTGTGGGATTATAATGGGTCTGTTGTTGCTGTTGTTGTTGCATCTATTAACCTTCAATGTTGGTCTCGATATATTTTTTGCTTTCCATGTTGACGAAGGTGCTCGATTTCCACTGATATCTGATCTTCCTTATTATGTGTCTATCCATTGCTCCACCTTATATTCCGTTTATAATACCATTTGTTTTGGACATACTCCTTGCTATTCATGGACATGTATTATATATCTTCCAGCTTCATGGTTGTATCTCTGCTGTTAGGTGTAGGATAAGGAGGTTGACATTTAGATTCTGGAAACTCTGCACTTGATATTTGTTCCCTTAGCAGGAATTGCAGTTCTAATTGTTTTACCAATAATCTGATTGTTTCTCTTTTTTCAGACTCTTTCTACATCATGGATGCCATTATCAACTTGCACCTCTGGATATGCTGTTGGGGTCCTCATTGGTGATGAGGTAAACCATTTGTTGTTGATGTACATCTCCAACTTCTAGTTTTATAGAGCTCTGATTGACAGAAAATTAGTTTTCCGCAGGTTGTGTATGTGCTTATACATCTCCAGCTTTTGCCCTTTTCTTTTTCAAAAACTAATTTGGACAATAACAATGTTACTCTTTCAACTTCAAGTTTAATCACGTTAATTCTGTGTCAGCTTCAAGTTGAAGCGAATTATCCACTGTCAAATCTGACTCTTACCTTACGTATGCAGTGGGAACTGCCGTAATGCTTCTGGCTCTCATATTTACCCAAGCTCTGCTACTTAGTATTAGAAAATTGTCAAGTCCTTTTGGTTATATTCTTCCGTTTCTTATACACGTCAGCATGAGAAACTTCTACTAAAATTTCTTAGTTTGCTGGTAGCAATTTGAAGCTCATTTCTGTGTTGAAAGGAAAAAAATTAACGCTTATTAATGTTCTCCATAGTTACGCTCTTGCTTCCTGTTTGTTATGCAGTTACACCTCAATCCTATTCATGCAGTTGTACAGCTCCGACCATCACAGCAGCATCTTAAGGAAAGTGAGTTGAAGAAGAAGAACATTGCCACCAGCAGTGATGGAAAAACTGTTGAAAAGAAAGATGTCGAGGAAAAAAAGCCTGCGGGTCCATCAAAGAAGCAGGTTCATTTCATGATTTGCTCTTTGATGCCAGCTCCTAAGCAATTTGAATGGACCTTGTTTATGACTAATCTTCATGTGATATTATTGTAAAAATTAGTGGCCACTTAAGATATTTTATGTGGAGGACTATTTGGTTCCGGACTAGGTTTGCCACATTTTCAGGTAAATATGATAAGGCAATGCCTAAATATTGATCTTCTTTTGTTAACCATTCTGCTACGTTCAAGACTAATCTTTTTCCTAGTATTGTGAGCTCCACACCCAAACCCCTTACCCAGGAGCCCAATACCTGCTTTTCCATTTTACTCACTTGGTGACTTAAGTCAACCCCAACCTTATTGTTGGAGGTGGAGGATCTTTGCCACTAGGCTATCCCTCCCTTAATGCTGCTTAAAGCTTTACCATTCTTCGATTTATTCTTATAACATATACCTTTTGTGCAGAACAAACCACCTGGGAATGACAAGGATATTGAAGAGGTATGATAAACACCTGTGACCATGTACTGACAAAATTTCCGGTTTTAGATATTAGCTAATAACTCTCCATAGTTCTTTAGCTTGAGTGGCTGCTAATTTTGCATCTTCTATGATTTGGATTGACATTTCTGTTTTTAGTGTTTCTATTTATATCTGTTCAAGAGCAGTTAGCTTTTTCCATGCAGTCGCAAATATCATTTCAAACAGTTTCATTAATTCAGATCCTTGTGAGAAGTTATTGGTATCTTCTTCATTTCCTGTTTTAGCATTGGGTACATCTAAAATACCATGGAGCTAGGAGTGACATTTCAGCCAGATATCTACAGGAAATGGCCATGGAGGAAGGCTCTCCAGTACCATTTTCAATGAGCCCGTATGTGTCTCTTAATATGGTTGATTTTTTCCGCTTGAGAAACTGCTTCTGTTCAGGACAATTAATAAGAAGCATTTTTTCTCAAAGCATACATTCATCCACTGTCTTTTTTATTCTAATACCAGTTTTCTATTCTGTTTACTTGATACACAGGGTTGATTATCTGAATGCTGTATGTCCTGGCAGACCAACTGACACTGACAGATTAAAAATTCTTCGAACAAGGTACTGCAGCCTCTCTAATTGATCCTTCTCCTCATCGATTCTTCTGACATCGGAAGGTTTTGGAGGTGCTGCTAAGGACAACAACAATTTTTATTTGCATTTATGATCATAGAGCTGTCTTCTTTGCTGTGAGGTGTTATTGTCTTCTCATGTATTGCCACTCCATTCTTTAGCAAATACCTAAGGTTGAAATTGCAAATTAATCACCTTGTTGGGGGCTTGACAATGTAGTTTGACATAAATATGCAGCTCATGACTTGAATTGCTTCCATTTGTGATTCTTCTATTATCTTTCTCTAGCCAGAAATTTACTGTATTTCTTTTTATCAATATCCCGGCCATGTGAATAGTAGATAGCTGTTCTTGAAATGCCAAATTTCTCAACTATCTTAAATTAAACATTTTACCCTGTCATTTAATGCCTCCTAACTTCTAAATTGTCAAATGTTTGGTTTCCAGGTTGTCTCAATTACCTCTTGAAGAACGCATTAGAACTTGGCTTCTTGAGGTTTATACCCGCTATTTGAATTATGCGCTACTTGTATATTTTTATGCCTGCAACAAAGTTTGTTTACAAGGTCTCATGATCCTGATAACTCATAAAGGCAGCATATTTCTAAATCTGGGTTCTTTTGGCAACAGGGACCTCCAATTCATCGTTTTGATGCTCTAAAGCACCTGGCGCTGGATGATCCTGTTGATGAAATTTTGAGAGTCCTCCAAAGATACGCACAATTAGTTCAAGGATTATGGGTTCCAAAAAGTTCATTAATCTATGGAAAGAATGATGGACTTGAAGTTTTAGCAAGGAATTTTATTCTCTTTGAGTTTAGCAAGAGTACCATTATTAAGCAGAAAGTTTTTTCCAGGAGGTTGGATTTCCTTAAAGCTGCGAAACCAACACTAAAATCATTAGCTGTTGAGAGGCCTGACCTGAATGATTGGAAGCTCAAAGAGCATCCTGACAAGAAATTTGAAGTTCTTTATGGTGATGTTGTGAAAGAGCAGCAAGCTACCTGGGAATGCATGGGGAAACAGATCAATGGTATTTTGTCTGGAGGAAGAAACAGGCCTGCTCTGAAGAATCCTTTAAATTCAAATGACAACATTCCTGCACTGCCCGGTGGTGGTACACCCGCTCCTGGGTCACTTTTGCGAACATCTATGTCAGAAAAAACTCGAGAAGCTTTACCAAAGGCGCTTCAAAAAGTTTTTAGAATCTATAAGGCTTGCAGGTGAGATCTCTGATTGTGAACTTTTCTGCCCTTTGTTGCTTACCATTCAGTGATTTTGGGTATTCATCTTAGTCACACAAATTGTTACAGCCTGAGAAAAAATGCAGAAACCTTTGTAAATAGGTGGTTTATTGACCTTGGTTTGATTGCTCTGCAACTTTACAATCATGTCCGTGCTTGGCTTTTTTTTGAACTGCTTGATGCTCCTTGCTCCAACTTCTGCCACCTGTTGGAGTTCCTTTGTGTTTGGTTCAAGAACTCTCTTTCTCTCTCACTCACTCTCTCCCTTTCTCTCTCTCTCTCTCTCTCTCTCATAATCTTGTTCCGCTAGCTGTTGCACCTTTTATGGCTTTTGATATTATCTTTCGGATCTTAAGGATTGTGTAAATAGGTGATTGTTTCATCCTGAATATGACTTCTAAAAGGATGAAATGGTCTAGTTATAGGACATTTTTCTTTGCTTTGGCATCATCTCAGAACCTTATTTTGAGCAGTGGTTATCCATTGTCCCTCAAAGTCCTGTTTATGTTGACTTGTTAGTTGAGGTGAGTTGTGCAAGTACTTAGGTCGAATTGTCCATCACAAAATTTATGCTGTCTTCCTGTTATGTTATACTACTTTACTTTTCTAGAATGGTAATGGATCATAACATAGAAGAAAACTCGTATTTTCCATTGTCTTTTCTCCAGTGCGCCTCGCCTGTCTGATATTTAGATTTAATAGAGTTGTTTGCTGTTCAAGGAAAAACTGTACATGAATTTCTTAAATTAAAAACAAAAAAACTGATTTCCTCCATCTAAATTTGTGACCCCTGACAGATCGGAAATCCATTGTTTAATTTTTCCAGTTTCCAGCAAATCCGCCAACGTCTGCGAGATGTGGCAGTTTCTGAGTCTCAAAAGGGAGATGCAAAGAAGGCTATAACTGCAGCCAATTCTGTGAATGATGCACCTCCCGAGGAGATACAGGCAGTGATTAATCAGGTTGCTGTAAACATCCATGGTGTCTATGTTTTGAAGTCATCGCCAGATAATCCTCAATATGACGCATTGAGGTTAGTAAGTATTGCTATTATAACTAAAACTACGTTATAAATACCTAGGCCCGCGGCTAATACATAGTTTTGGTTCTCAGGAAAGTTGTAATTGACCTTCTTATGGCTGAAGGGCCGAGTGCAAAGCTAAAGAAAGCCTCTGTAGTTGAAGCTGCCAAGTTGCAACTGAATAGGGATATTACCGATATTGAGTTTAAAAAGGTGAGTAGTTATTTTCTTACTTGTCAAGAGAATTAAGGAATGTCTTCTTTGACTTTATTGTATGGAGTTTCACATGGCGGCTGAAGTCGATATCAGAACAATTATTATCATAGTTGATGTAGTGTCAATTTGTCAACCTATTGAAAATAGTAAGATGTGCAAGTGTCTAGGTTTATATGTCTTTTTAGTTACCCTAGGTGCATGTTTTTTTATATTATCTAAGTATGGCTTTATGTTATTGTGGTTAAGTACATAGTGTGTGAGATATCATTTATTAGGTATGAGTCTAGAAGTTTCCCTTGTCACCTATAAAAGCACCCCTTGTATCTCCCTCTTCCTTCCTCTTTGTGCCTTGTGACATTATCAAGGGTCCATCTTTATATTCCAACAAGTAGTATCAGAGCGGTTGTTCAATCCTGGTAGGTGTAAAGGCGAAATTCAGCAATTCAACAGAAGGTGCTTCTCCATATTTGAGGACCTGTTGAGGGGCCGGCAATTTTTAAAGAGAAAAGTGAATACTTTGGGTTTTTGAAGAATAGAGCAGCTCATCGAGAAGGTGTAAGTCTTGAAGAACTTAACAAGACTGGAAAAAAAGACGAGAAAAGTCTTCCATGAGTGTATTTGCAATAGCCAAAAGTTAGGAGATTGAATGAATTCCCTATACAGGGTTGTAAATAGCGCTCGCCTCAGTGCTAATAGCGTGAGGCGATGCGAGGCTGCAGCGCCATTTTCCTATGTTGTGTGGCGAATTTAAAAAGGCGAGCGCCTCTACCTGTGTAGCGAGGGGTGCAGAGTAGCGATGCCTTTTTTGAAAAAAAGAGAAGAAAAAGGCATCAGACTTCAGCGATTAAAAGAAAAATTAGGGCTTGAGTTTGTTTTCGTCTTTCTCCTAAATGCTCGTCGACCCAGCCCTGCTGCAAAGAAGCAAACCAAATTTCTTCTTTCTTCTTCAAGTTACTTCGATGAGGTATGCTTCTCTTCATCTCTTTTCTTCTTTATTCTTCTCCTTTCTTCTTCTCGAGCAATGTCCATTTTTTCCCTTCCTTCTTCTTCTCCTCCTGCTTCCTGCTTCCTGCTTCCTGCTTCTTCCTGCTGCTTCCTCCTGCTTCCTGCTGCTTCCTCCTGCTTCCTGCTTCCTGCTTCTTGCTTCCTGCTTCTTTCTTCTTTCTTTCTTCCTTTTTCTTCTTCTCTTCTTCTTTTTCTCTATGTTGTCTGTTGTTTTCGAGCGCTGTCCAGCAGCTGTTTTTTTTGGCATAGATATTTTTTTCTTTCTTCCTTTTTCTTCTTCTCTCTTTTTTTTGCTCTGTTTTTTTCGAGCAGTTGTGTCCAGCAGATGCTCTGTTTTTTAAATTGATATATTTATCAATATGTTATTGCTATTGAGTTTTTAGTTATATATATATATATGCAAATTTAATATTTTATTTTTTTGTATTAATTGTCGCTTCACATCAAAAAGGCGAGCGTTTCGCTCCTCGCCTCAGTGAAGCGGGCCCTCATCGCTATTTGTCGCCTCACGCTATCCAAAACACTGTCGCTATAGTTGAAACTTCTCTGCTGATGGAAAATTTGAAATTATGAGAAAAGTTTTATCCAGATGACCTACCTAGATGTGTGCAAGGATAATGTTTGAAGGCGAATTTAGAAGGCATAAACAAAGAGGATGTTGAAAATGATGCTGAATTTATCAAGAGTAAGGGTGTGTTTGGCACCCCTAAATGAAGAATAGGTAAAGACAATTTAAGTTTAAGGGGATGTTGAAAATAGTAAACTTAAATGTTTAAGCTCTAGATTCGTGTGTTTTTAGTTATCCTAGGTGCATGACCTTTAAAATTATCTAGGTATGACTTTACGTTATTGTGGTTAAGTTCATAGTGTTTGTGAAATCATTTATTAGGTATGAGTCTTAGAATGTCTCTTGACACCAATAAAAGCACCCCTTGTAATGTTGTTATGTAAGAGTGGAGTCTTTGAGAAAATTACTATTGTGTTTCATGTGTATCTCCCTCTTCCATTCTCTTTATGCTTTATGATATGATCAAGAGTTTGCCCTTATATACCAACACTATCAATCAAATGCATCTAAAACCTGTTTGTATGAATCATCTAGATGTTTCACTCTAAAGGTGAATTAAGGGTTCTCTAAAAGTAGTTTTTCTGTAAATTTCACAATTATCCATACAGAAGAAACAAAAACAACAAAAGAATATTGGTGCAGAAGAAACAATAATTGCAAAGCTAACATTAACATTTGTCAGGATCCATTTTTGTTCTCTTCTATGATGTGGGAAAGTTTGTATCTTGGGCTTTAGGTTTTTCTACTGTACTGCTGTCAGGGTTCTTATTTTGCACTTCTTTTATGTAATTTGGATCTTAGCAATACTGTGGTAATGCTTGCATGATCTGTGACAGTTATTGGGCTTTAAATGAGCTTGAACCTACATTCTATTACACGAAGTCAATGTATTCCAGCACAAGCAGATGTACGAAAGATGTTTACAGTATCCTGTTTCTGATCCTCTTTCCCCATTTCTTTCCATTTTCCCTCCTTTTGGTATTTCTCCTTCTCTTCTTAGTCTTAACACTCAACATCAGTGATAAAATATAAAATGTAACAGTTACTACATTCCATGTTAAGTGATACTATAGAGATACTGCATTGTTGTGGTCTAGGATCCTTCAAGTTGCTTTGAATTTTTTATTGTGAATGAGCTACTTCGATGGTAGTGTGAAATGTTGTCAGTCCGTCAGATTGCAATACAAGCTTTTGTCCTACGTGTTAGATTATAGAAAAGCTTTTGTTAACTTGCAGGGATGCTAAATATTTTTCTGTGCTTCTGCAGGTTATGCAGGAATTATGTGAATCAAAAAATTCCGCATGGGTTTTGAGAAGTGGTGATGGCAGTTCATCATAGTCTGCGGTTTTTAATCCAAGTTGTACAGGTCACCCGAAATACATGTTAGTAGTTGGAAATTCTCAATGATGAGAAGCTGAAAATTGGACTTTTCCCTTTACTCTTGAGAAGTATAATTGTTTAGTTTTGTGTTATACGATGTCTCAGAGTATATGATTGAGCTGTTGGTGGGAACCGCTTTGCATTGCAGCTATATGTAGCTCCTCTTCGAGAAGGTTTAGGAGATATCACCATATCAGAAAGATGTTGGCCAGGATGTAGGTCTTCCATTTAATCAAACTCTCTCACTGTATTCGAAGTTGGTACTAGTTTTATGATCGCCTACCGCATTTATACAATGATACATAGCAACCACGCTACAGGGCATTTGTGCCGCTTTTGTGTTGAGAATAGGATCTTTCATTATGCCTGCTTCAGATGTTTCTACTTGTTTTCTTATCACTCACCACTACTAGGGGTCTGTGCAGTTGTCAAAAATCTGCTGGCTAAAAGGTAGTCAACAGGACTAGTAGATAAAAGAGATGCACGTAGATCTATGAGCATCCAAGTTTGTATGTTACTTGAGCTTCTCTTAAGGGGTAACTTATGAAAAACAAAAGATAAACAGTCACTTATTTTGAATAGTAGGACTGTCAATTTATCCTGACTGCTAATTTTGTGCGTGGTTGATGTGGCTCTTTTTATTTGTTTATCGTCGTGAAGAACAGGAATATTTTAGAACCTATAATATGGAATAGCAAGCGCGTGTAAACAAAAGTTATGGGTTTGCTTTTGCAGCTACATAGCCTTTGCTGGTGATATTCAGTCCTGTTCTTGTACCTGCTGTGATAACTGTTGGGTTGATCCTTGCAGGTTTCTTGGCTACTGGTGGTTTTGGAGCCACTGCTTCCTTTGTTTTCTACTGGATGTACTGATACGTCACAGGGAAGCATCCGATCGGCGCTTCCAAGATTGATTACGCGAGGGATAAAATTGCACATGCAGCACATGATGTGAAGGAGAAGGCGGAGTAATTGGGACATCAAGCAGGGCAACAGATTAAGGGTTGAGAGAGGGGCTTAGATGAGTTTTCTCATGCATGCATGTGCACCTTTTAATTGTTTGTTAATCGGTTTTGTGTGAGAATGTGAGCCGTGCTTATTGGATTTTGCGGTAGCTGTTACTGGTTCTGTAGCAAGATTTAGTCACTTAACGAGTCTGTTTTTGGTTTTACCCAAATCTTGTTGAGTCTGTTTTTTGTTAATCCCTAATCTTTTTAGTTCCGTGGTGCATTTGGTATTTCCCCCTCAGAACACAAACGCAAAGTTGTATTTTTGTAACAAAACCTTGACAGGTGGAGGTTAATGCTTAGACAAAACAAGTAAAACTGCAAGGTCCGGCTCGATTTACTTTGCTCTCTGAACGGAAAAATCAACATGCACCGGTCGATAAATATTAGCAGCAACACAAATTATCTTTTTAAGATTTGTTGATAAATTAAAGTAATAACACAAATCATCTTTTAAGATTTTGCGTGATGGTAATCGACCATTTCCTCGCCAATTTCCGCTTTACTTTAAACTTCTAGGTAAGAACCAAATATGTGATCTATGACCAACCTAAAATAAAAGCCATCTGGCAGTGAGAAGAAAAATTATTGACGAAACATGCGCCGGAGTCGGAGTTATTCGCCAGTAGTGGAAATACTAGTTTCTCAGAAGTAAACTGATTGCACGTATATGCATCACCAACAAGAAAGAATACTATAGTAATTCAAAGTTTGATAATGTTAAAGCTAAATTCCTTGAGGTTTCATCATTTTTTTGATGATGACGCCGAAAACCATTCTGTCTCTGAAGAAAACAGAGTTCAGACTTGGAATAATTATCAGTACCATAGTGGTAAACCAGTAGTAGTTGTAGCTAATGAAAACTCTGTTGATCTTGAAAAACACAGAGGTATAGTTGGTTCAAGAATTGATGAAAAGCCATTGCTTTTGCCAATTCGGAGTTTGAAATCTACTTTTCCCGAGTCTATCTCAACTACTTCACCAAAATCTCTTTCACCTTCATGTTAGGGATATATTAGATATGCCATATATCCAATCTCATATTTGATGATTTGAACATATTTTTATGAATGTTATTTGATATAAAAAATATATGACATTTGATATTCGTTTATCATAGTTATTATTAATTGCTTGATTAATTTAATAAGGTCCTTGATTAAATTTTGAGACTTATCATCATGATGGAGATCATGATAATGAGAGTAAAGTCTCTTACAATTTAATCTAAATTTTGTTCTTGATCGTAGGATTATTAATTTGGACATTAGTAATCCGGTTAAATCAATATTTATGTGATCGTCTTTATGGGATAAAGATTAGTTGATCTCATTAACTAAATCACATAAATAGATGACTCAGATCGAAATATGATCACTGAACCGATTCATTGGATAATTCCTAATGGTTAGAATTACCATAAACTGTCAATAGGATATTGTCTTGAAGAATGTGATGTAAGAGTTTCCTTTGACCTGATATCATCATAGTAATTGACAAGTTATTTATTGTGCTCTGATACTACGGTAGGATTGCATATAAGTGTTCATAACACGCAGCGGAAGACAATAACAATCATATGCAGAACTTATCGTGTTTAAAATTTATTTACATGTCAAATATCGGATCTAAGACGTACCTGGTGAAGAGAGTCTTGTTTCATAATTTTCTTCGATAGTGCGAAGACTCTATGCGTATCTACACCGAGACCGATCTTTGCTATCAACTCTTTGGTCAATGAAAATCGCGAACAAATTGAACGAAAAATATAGTGTTGAAATTTTCCCAAAAATCTCAACTCAAAGGTAGAAGAACAAGAAACAATTTTCTCGTAATAATATTTTCTCTTGATAGGTTTTCATATACACCTTATAGGTTTTCATATGTTCTTCAAGTTCACGAATATATCTGTATATATACCTGAGTTTGCAATACTTTTCCAATGGAAAAAGGAAGAATTAAAATGGTGGCTTAATTCCTTTCTAAGTTAAAGTTGAACTTTAGAAAAATAATTCCATTGGAGATGGAATCCCATTCCAAAATGGGAAACACGTTTGCCGACTAAGTCTCTTTTTTGGACTTCATACTTGAATCCAATTCTTAATTAGATTTCACTAATTAGTCTCCTTTAAAGAAAGAAAAATGTGTAACCCATTTCTTATGGGATTACTAGTGCGGTAAGTAGTGATTTGTGGACTTTGAATTAGTCTCCTTATTAATATTTAATATATATTCCATATATAAATAAATATTAATTATAAGTACCAAATATATATATCACACACATATGTATTTCAACCAAGAGATATAATTTAATTTTCTATTCCAAATAGAAAGCTTCAATTTGTTCACAATATTAATTATATCCTCCGTGCTAGCAAAGAATATAACAATATTTCATTTGGACTAATAACTAAATTTATTTGACTAAATTAAATTCTTTAATTTAATTATCAAATAATAAAGTAATTCATCCTTTAGCAAAGATCTATCTATAACGTTCTAATTCCCCCTACGGTAACCCCAGTAGCCCCCAGTAGCTACACTCCGGCATCTGCTGCTTCGCCGTCGCCTTCGCCGCCGTAGGTGCTGTCGCAGGTAATTTCACTTCTCTCTTTCCGTCCCTCTCTCTTTCTCTTTCTCTCTCTTTTTCTTCTTTCTCTTCTTTTCCGATAGCTTCTGGTTTTCCGACAACCCATCTCGTCTTGCTCCATCTTCTTCTCCCCCCCCTCTCTCTCTTTCCCTTTCTCTCCCCCCTCTTTATGTGTGTGGGGGTGCGTTTCTGTTTCTTTGGACATATGCAGTATTTTCTTGGTGAGGACGGATTATTTCTCGGCTTGTGTACAGATTCCCGACAAGTATCATTAATTCCGGCGACTTCCGAACAGCTTTCTGGCGGGACGCAGCAGGACTGTCGGTGCTTTTGAGCAGATCCGACACATTTCAGGAAAACTTGCTCCAGGTTCTTTTGTTCTATCTCCGGTATTTGTGGTATCGATATTTTTATTTTTATTTATTTTTATTTATTTATCTATTTATTTTTAGTTTTTTGCTTGCCTGTATATTTGGCATCTACAGTATCTTGTTTTAAATTATTTTTAGTTAGACTTGTCTGCTTATATCTATCTCTATCCATTACTTTAGTGTTTTAGCTATTACATTAATTGTCTCTGCTTAGTTGTATCCCTTATTAGCACCTTGTGTACCTTTAGATTTCTGTTTAGTCTATTCATTTTTAGTGTATTCTTTTTGTAGCTTTGTGCTGATCTAGTGACCGCGCCGAGCTATGATAGAGTGAGGGCATGTCCTCGGGGGGAGCGATGGGTAAAGGGTAAGGGTGGCAGGGATATGGGGGGG